TAGGTGAGGGTGGGAGCACTCACCTCATTCCTCCTCACTAACCCCCATGTGATTCTGTAGGTGAGGGTGGGGAGCACTCAGCACAGCCCTCCTCATCAGCACCATTCCCACAGTCATTGACCCCGTCACAGTGGAAGGTGCGGGGTAAGCACTTGGTCAAGTTCCCGCACGGAAAGTACCCTTTCTGGCACAAAGGGGTGACCAGATGGCCTTGAGTCAGGGCAAAATCTGTAGGGCACGGACAAAAGTCATGTGTCACTGGACTCAGAAAAGGCTCACATTAAAACAAATTAATTAATAAAAAAAGAAAAAAGGAAAGAAAGGGCTCATATTGCCAAACTCTTTTCATAATACGTCATTTAATTTTCACGAGAACTTTTTGGATTGGATTTCTCTGTTGTCATTTCTTTTTCCGATAGTTGTTGTTGTTGTTGTTAGGTGCCATGGAGTTGATACTGACTCATAGCGACCTTATGCACAGCATATTTTTCCGATAGTCGAAAAACATTTATACCACCAAAAGATCAAATTCAAACCCACTGCCGTGGTGTTGGTGGGGCTCATAGTGAATTTACAGGACAGAGGACAGTTTCCAAGGCTGTAGATCTTTGTGGGAGCAGAAAGCCTCATCCATCTCCCTAGGAGCAGTTGGTGGGCTCAAACCACCAACTTTGAAGTCTACAGCCTGACATTTAAGGCTGTAGAGCTCCTGCATATATGAGGGGGCTTCAGAAAACTTGCGGGAAGATTTCATTATCTTTTTAATTCCAGTTTTCCATCAACTTGTTGAAGCTCTTTTGTATGACTCAGCATTTGCCAATTCGGCGAGTTTTGACATGATGACATTCATCAGTTCATCATATTATGTTGTTGTTGTTATCAGGTGCCATCGAGTCGGAACCGACTCATAGCGACCCCATGCACAGCAGAATGAAACAATGTCCGATCCTGGGCCAACCTCACTACCGCTGCCACACTTGAGTCCATCAATGATGCCACCTGGTTGATCCATCTCGTTGGGGGTCTTCCTCTTTTTCTCGGACCCTCCATCTTACCCAGCATGACATCCTTCTCCAGCAACTGTTCCCTCCTGACAATATTATGTATCTTGCTATTTCCCCAATTATTCCACCACCATGAACAGACATGCAGTGTGGCATCATTCAGGCTCTGGTAGTATAGTGGGTACGAGTCAGGCTGCTAACCTCAAGGTCAGCAGTTTGAAACTACCAGCGGTTCTGTAGGAGAAAGATGAAGCTTTCTGTTCCCGCAAAGATTTATAGCCTCAGAAACCCCATACAGGGACACTGTGAGTTGGAACCGACTCCAAAGCACACCACCACCATTATTCTTAGGTTTCTTATAACTGTTTTCTTAACTATAACAGTTTAAACAACTGTGCTAAGTCTTAAGCGCTCAACAGTCAGTTGAAAGGTTGGCTATTTGAACCCTCCCAGAGTGCCTCAGAAGACAGCCTGATGATCTGTTCATGAAAGGTCCCAGCCACTGAATTCCACAGGACCTTTCCACTTTACCCAGATGGGGGCGCCATGGGTCAGAACACACTCAACCACGAGAGACGGCAAAAACGACATCACTCCTAATTGGTCCGCAAGAGGTGTAAACAGTTTGTTCTGTTACTGACTTAAAGGTCAGTGGTTTGAACTTATCCAGATATGGCCATCTGCTCCCATAAATGTTGTTAATGTCTTGAGTTGGTTCCAACTCATAATGACCTTGTATAGGGTTTCCAAAAAGTGGCTGTTGGGCTTGAACCACCGACCTTGCAATTAGCAATTCAGTGCCTATCCTTCAATGCTACACCAGAACTACCCCCTAAATATTACAGCCTAGAAAACCTTCTGGGGCAGCTCGACTCTGTTACACCAGGGGGCGCTGTGAGTGGATGATATATGAGTATATACGAGGACATAGTGACACAATAGATGACAGCCTAGGAAACTCTGTGGGACAGTTCTCCTCCACTACACCAGAGGGCGCTGTGAGTGGATGATCTATAAGAGTGTTGTTGTTGTTGTTGTTGTTAAGTGCCTTCGAGTCGGTTCCGACCCATAGCGACCCTGTACAGGGTTTCCGAGGGTATAAATCTTTAAGGGAGTAGAAAGCCTCATCTTTCTCCCGCAGAGCGGCTGGTAGTTTCGAACCACTGACCTTAAGGTTCGCAGCCCGATTCGTAACCACTACGCTACCAGAGCTCCTTGATCTATAAGAGTATATACGAGTATATAGTGACACAATAGCCTAGGAAATCCTCTGGGACAGTTCTACTCTGTCACACAAGGTTGCTGTGTGTTGGGATTGACTTGATGGCAATGGTTTGGATTTTGAAATTTTTTTTTTAGCATACCTCATATCATCTGTTGTGGCACCATAGCATAAAGCGTCAGATTGTGAACCACAAAGTTGGTGGTTCAAACCTACCTGCTGCTTTCAGAAACCTTATACAGGGTCGCTGTGAGTTAGAACTGACTCAACAAATTTTTTATCACAATCCGGCAGACCCATGCTGCACACACATAGTTTCTTGCAATTAAAGCTTTCCTTTACCAGCTCGGGTGAACTGGATCATTGCTATCCTATCTTGTTAACCTGAAAAGGTCACAAGCCAGTAAGCTGACTTCATGATCCACTAATGGGACAGGACCTACTGTCTGGAAATATTAATGGTTGAACACCCTGGGGCCCACAGAACCTGGATTAGAATTCTCTGGACTACTCACTCACTGTGTAACCTTGAGTAAGCCACCTGCCTACCCTCTTTAATGTCCTCATAGCTACAATTGGATGGATGATAGTAACCCCCAAGGGTGTGTTCTGGAGATTAGATAAATTCAAACTTAGAAAGTAATCAGAGTGTCTGGCCTAGCACAAGCCCTGCATTAATGCTGACATGCAGGTGATTTAGATACAAAGAAAGAAAACTGAATTTTAAGAAGGAAGCAGTCTACGATTCTTATGTGATTTCTGTTACAGAAAGAATAGCTAGGTAAATAGCCAGATAGATGGCGGTGGTGGTGGTGGTGGTGTGCCATGGAGTCGGTTCTGACTCACAGTGACCCTGCACAGAGTTTCTGAGGCTATAAATCTTTAGGGGAGCAGAAAGCCTCATCTTTCTCCTATAGAATGGCTGGTGGTTTTGAACTGCGGACCTTGAGGTTAGCAACTCGACTCGTAACCATGGAGATAAATAGGTAGGTGGACAGGCTAGTAGAAAATAGGTAGATAGAAAGATACGTGAGCTGCAAAAATATGATAATTATGAGAGGCAAGAGAGATCAAAGTTAATTCCTTTTCCTGAAAAAAACTGGGTTTTATCTAAGAAGTTCGAGTGAAAAAGGTGAGAGAAAAGACTATCACAAATAAACAGAACCTAATGATTGTATCTCCTATTTGTCTCATTTTCACCCTACAATGGCATTTTCCCAAAGACATTTCAAGATACACATCTTTTTGATAAGAAAAATAAATAAATGAAGAGAGGAACCAAGATGGCGGACTAGGCAGATACATTACTCAGACCCTCTAGAGAGCGAAGATAAGGGAGACCACATGAAACACACACAGAGGATGATCCTGGGACCCTGAGCATCAAAGGAAAGACTGGAGAAGTGGACTGAATACTTACTGGGAGGAGAGACTGAGTGAGGGCTTGAAGAAGGGAGACAGACTGGTGAAGGGTCTCCCAGCAAGATATGGTGCATCCGAGACCATGGATTATCATGCAGATTCCTGCCAGGAACTGACAAAGGGAGAGGAGACAGAGACTGTGCCCACACAACTCAGATGCAGCTCCACCCACTTTTGTTGATAGGTGCCACCAACTTGGTATTCACTCAAAGTGACCCTATGCGCAACAGAATGAAATACCGTGTGGTCCTGTGACCACATCACAATGGTTGCCATGTTTTAGCCCACTGCTGTTGGCATTGTGCTAATCTGTTTTGTTGGGGGTCATCCTCTTTTTCACTGACCCACCACTTTACCAAACATGATGTCCTCCAGGAACTGGTCCCTCCTGATAATATGTCCGAAGTATGAAAGATGAAGTCTGGTTTTCCTGGCTTCCAAGGAGCTTTCTGGTTGTACTTCTTCCAACACAAATCTGTTTATTCTTTGACAGTCCATGGTACTTTTAATATTCTCCTCCAACACCATAACTCAACTGCATCAATTCTTTTACTATCTTCCTTATTCACTGTCCAACTTTCAGATGCATAGGAAATTACTGAAATCACCATGGCTTGGGTCAGGCTCATCTTGATCCTCAAACTGACATCTTTGCTCTTCAACACTTTAAAGAGATGTTGTGCAATAGATTTGCCTAATACAATATGTCCTTTGATTTCTTGATTGCTGCTTCCTGAGTGTTGATGGTTGATTGAGCAAAATGATGTCTTTGACAACTTCAAGCTTTATTTACCGGTCCAGTGGTGAGGATTTTTGTCTTCTTTACACTGAGGTGCAACCCATAATGAAGACTGTGGTCTTTTATCTTCATCAATAAGTATTTTAAGTCCTCTTGGCTTTCAGCAAGCAAGGTTGTATCATCTGCATATGGTAGGTTGTTTAAAGAGTCTTCCTCCAATCCTGATGCCATGTTTTTCTTCATATAATCCAGCTTCTCAGATTATTTGCTCAGCATACAGACTGAATAAATATGGTGAAAGAATAAAACCCTGGAGCACACTTTGCCTAATGTTAAATCATTTGATGCTCCCTTGTTCTGTTCAAACAACTGCCTCTTGGTCTATGTACAGGTTCCTCATGAGCACAATTAAGTGTTCTGGAATACTTATTCTCTGAAATGTTGTCCACAGCTTGTCATGATTCACACAATCAAAAACTTTTGCATAGTCAATAAAGCACAGGTAAACATCTTTCTGGTATTCTCTGCTTTCAGTCAAGATCCATCTGACATCATTCCTTGTCCTCTTCTGAATCCGGCTCGAACCTCTGAGAAAAAGGGAATACCAGCTCCGATACCACCTGGCCATCAATACACAGCAGACAACACCAGCCAAGTTCATGCATGGAGGTACATGAATGAGGAGCAGAGACCTGGATACATGCTTCAATTCTTTAATTACACCCACCAGGAGACAGTTAGTGAGAACCTCAGAACACACCAACACATACAATTGTCAATTAAATACAAACACAATGACACCACAAGGTCTTGGAGACAACAGACAATTTCAGTTCACATG